TGTAGAATACTCAGGCGTGGCCCAGATCAGTGTGGCAGTGCCTCGTGTAGAATACTCAGGCGTGGCCCAGATCAGTGTGGCAGTGCCTCGTGTAGAATACTCAGGCGTGGCCCAGATCAGTGTGGCAGTGCCTAGTGTAGAATACTCAGGCGTGGCCCAGATCAGTGTGGCAGTGCCTAGTGTAGAATACTCAGGCGTGGCCCAGATCAGTGTGGCAGTGCCTCGTGTAGAATACTCAGGCGTGGCCCAGATCAGTGTGGCAGTGCCTCGTGTAGAATACTCAGGCGTGGCCCAGATCAGTGTGGCAGTGCCTCGTGTAGAATACTCAGGCGTGGCCCAGATCAGTGTGGCAGTGGTGTACATCAGTTGACATCAAAAGATGAGTTATACCCCTGGACTTCATAAGCATCAGAAAGCTCTTCTCCCCTTTGTTCCATGGAGTGCTATGATAGGAGGGGCACATATGGAGGTGACTGGGTGAGATACTAACGAACCTTGTAAAGACATTGTGAGAGTTCCCTCTCTGATTCAAGCAGACATTGTCTGATTTATGGTGTTCACCATTCCATGGTAAAATCTATTGAAATCTCTGAAACTAAGACACCTGAGGGACTATGACTACTGAGGAATTGAGTTCTGAAGGCCAGCAGCTATCCTTATCACTAGATTTCCTTAATTTTAAAATACCATCAATTGTAAAACACAACATTGTTTTTGTCATAGCTTTTCGGGGGAGAAAAGAAACAATACTTCTTTAATTATACATATTAATTTTTAGATTATCTGATTTCAGAAATACTGAAATGTAAAAAAAAAAGCACATCTTAGAATTAAGGAAATAGTCTTAGTTATAATCAGGAATAATGTACTTACTTATTTTGAGGCAGAGACTTGCTCTGTCAGCCAGGCTGGAATGCAATGGCACGATCTTGGTTTACTGCAACTTCCGCCTCCAGGGTTCAAGCCATTCTCATGCCTCAGACTCCCAAGTAGCTGGGATTACAGGTACCCACCACCACGCCTGGCTAATTTTTGTATTTTTAGTAGAGACAGGGTTTCGCCATGTTGGCTAAGCTAGTCTCAAACTCCTCATCTCTGGTGATCTGTCTGCCTTGCCCTCTCAAAGTGCTGGAATTGCAGGCATGACCCACCACACCCAACCAGGAATAATGTACTTTAAAACTTCGTTACTGTCTTAGAAAGTTAAAAGTAGGAAATTTGGTGACTTTATACTTACATTCAATTAATACTGATTTTAAGGACTTAATCTCTGTTCCTTTGTTAGGGAATAAACTAATTGGTAGTCTGTAAAAATGTATCTCTGGGAGGTAGAATGTGAAGTGGGATGAGGTCATTTGTTGTTAATAGATATCTGCATATTTGAATATTAAGATACCTACTCAAAATAGCAATAGAAGAAAATCCCTGAAATCTGACAGATAACATTTTCTAAACTTTTAAAAGGACACTTTTAGTAAATAATTACAGCCAAATTTCATTCTTCTTTCTTGTATTATGAAATTTAATGAGATATGAAGTCTTTTTATAGGCCCTCAATGATTAGATTTCATGTTTGTTTCTATCTTAGTCTAGTTCCTAGACTAGTTTATTTCTCCATATGCCCCATTCTTTTCATTCAATACTGTTCTTTCTGCTTGGAATATGTGCCCCCACACGGCCAGCCCGTTCTCTTTTGGGAATCTTTCACAAGTCCCTGATACAGAAACCTTCTTTGGCCCCTTAGCGTTCTATGCCACATTTAAGGCACTTTCATGTATTCTATGATTATTTGTACAGATTTTATTTCTCTCAAAGATTTAGATTTCTTAATGTCAGTACCCATTTCATCCACTCTTGTGTATACTGTGCCTTATTGGTGCTCAATAAAAATTTGATGTAGCAGGGCACAGTGGCTCACGCCTGTAAACGTAGCACTTTGGGAGGCCGAGGTGGATGGATCACCTACGGTTGGGAATTCTAGACCAGCCTGACTAACATGGAGAAACACCGTCTCTACTAAAAATACAGTATTAGCCGGGCATGGTGGTGCATGCCTGTAATCCAGCTACTTGGGAAGCTGAGGCAGAAGAATCACTTGAACCTAGTAGGCAGCCGTTGTGGTGAGCTGAGATGGTGCCATTGCACTCCAGGCTGGGCAACAAGAGCAAAACTTGATCTCAAAAAAAAAATTGATGTAAAAATGGAATTTTCTAGAGGCTTTGAAGTGGCAGGCATGCCTGAAATGTGGAGTGGATCTGCTCTTTTATGTTTCTTCTACGGACTAAAAAACAAAACAGATTTGTATCAGGAGGGACTTAGAGTCAATATGAGGACCACCCTGACATTGAGGTTTTAAATGTGGGGATGTGCTGTGTGAGGAAGATTAGTAGCCTTATCTGCAAGGCCCTTTCAAAGTAATCTGCAAAATGCTAGGGAGAAGTTTGACTAATCTTGAAACATAAAATTGCAACCTACAAATTGTCTTGGTCTGCTGCCACTGCATTCACAATGTTCCCGTTGGTCTCTCCAATGGAGTAGTACATCGGTTGCCAGAGAAATAAAAACGTGTGTTTGTGTGTTGTTGTTGTTGTTTTAAAGGGAGTCTCTCTCTTGTCACTTAGGCTGGAGTGCAATGGCACGGTCTCGGCTCACTGCTCACTGCAACCTCCGCCTCCCAGGTTCAAGCAATTCTCCTGCCTCAGACTCCTGAGTAGCTGGGATTACAGATGTGTGCCACCACGCCCTGCTCATTTTTGTATTTTTAGTAGATATGGTGTTTCACCATGTTAGCCAGGCTGGTCTCGAACTCTTAACCTCAGGTGATTTATCTGCCTTGGCCTCCCAAAGTGCTGAGATTACAGGCATGAGCCACCATGCCCGGCCTGTGTGTGACTTTTATACTACTTTTATGGCACTTAAATCATGCCCTGTATAAGAATGACTTTATGTACTTGTTTAGCCCCGTACAGATTAGAAACTCACTGATGGCAGTGCCTGTGGACATCATTGTGCTTGCTTACTAGGCACGAGAACTGTGCTACCACCTATGGTGGTAGAGATTACCAGCTGCATCACCTGTGACCTCAGTTAATGGGAAGCCGGCAGCCAGGCTAACACATTTCTTCACCCTCTGGGTAGTGCTTGTAAATATCAACTGAGTGAATGGAAATGCCATTTATTTTACCACTTTATGCCTCACACCCTAAGCATGCTATGTAAGAAGTGGATACACTTAGAGGTGCCTAGGTAGCTTCCACAAAATCTAAAGGAAAATCCGGTTTTACTTTTTGATGTGATTTTAAATGGATCATGAGGATCTGGGTTGAAATTACTTGACGGTCAGCTAAGAAGGTCATTGCAATAAAGTGGAGATAAAATCTCTGCTATTTGATTTCAGGCAATTTAGTATAAGTGTTAACTCAGCAAGATGAGACAAATAGAGCAACAAGATCCAAAGCTCTGAAAGGTTGAGTTTTATCCCAACTGTCTTTGGCAGGACAGTTACAAGGTCCCTGGTTTATAGTTGCCTGATACCACTGGAGACCAGAAGAGGTGAAACAGCTGGTGATCTCTAAGATGGTAGGCCTGAATAGATGGGCCAGTTTCTTCATCTGTGTTAAATATACTGAGCTCCAAGTTTCTCTTCAAAGAATCAGTATGTCAGTATGTTCAGCTCTCTTATTCTTTGTTCTCCATTTTAAAGTTTGACTTCCTGGTTCTCTTCATCCTGTTGCCTCAAGTTACAGTTAACAAGTTTCCTGCAAGTTCTAATCAGTAGTCCATATCTGTTGCCCTGGTCACCTGCTCTGACCTGAGTCACCTTTAGTTACCTGTTCTATAACCATCTTTCCCACCAAACTGCTCACCCAACCACTCTGGCTCATACCCCTCCTCCCTTTAAAATGGCCAATTGAAATTAGCATAGACTATGTGGTCCGACCCTAGCCAAAGGGGGAATGACACAGCAGTAGGGGCTACCTGACATAGCAGTAGGAGAAAAACCCCTTCCCCTCCCTTGTTCAGGTGTGCTCTTGCCATTGCTCCATCGGTGAGATGCACGCTTCTGTAGAATTAAATTGCCTTGCTGAGAAAATCTTTGATCACTAGTTCTTCTTTTTGGCACCAAGGAACAAGCAATTGTTTCTGACATCTACAAATGTGGAGAGGAGGAGTGGGAGAACACTAGAGGAAGTCAGCCCAAACATTGTACAGGCTTGAGGAAAACAAAGGTTCCTGCCTGTTAACTTTACAGTTAATACATGAGCCAAGTAAATCAAGGAAAAATAAAAGCATCTCTAACCCTACCACCCAGAGATACTACCCAGAGATAACCACTATTACAACTTCCCTGTCTACTCTTCCAAAGATACGTTCTTGCATAAATAGTTATACAGACACATGCTAAAATTTCCCTCACAAAAATGGAATTTTAAGTACATATCATTTTGTGACTCAAGCTTTTTCATAAGTATATTGTGTACATGGATTTATGTCTGCATAGTATTCTTTAGGATAGATATTTTTTAAAAAAATTTATGATGGGACATCTAGGTTGTTTGCATTTTTTTCACTTTTGTTAATAACCTTATACTGAACATGCTTAGGTAAATATTTATTTCTCCTGCGTTTGCCTCCTTAAAAAGCACTGATGCCTGATCCCTGAGCCTTCTTCCCTTTTCCTCTTTATTCTGTGTCACAAATGCACAAATGAGCCAGTTTGACAAAGCAGTATTTTCCTAAGGATGGGGGAGGCAAACAAGAGTAGGTATAAAGCAAAATCTTTATGGGGCAATGGGAAAGAGAAAAGGCTGGAAGTCTAAAGCCATACCACCCTGAACATACCTGAGCTCATCTGATCTTGGAAGCTAAGCAGGGTCAGGCCTGGTTAGTATTTGGATGGGAGACCACTTGAGAATACTGGGTGCTGTAAGCTTTATTTAAAAAACTAAAAAAGAAAAAGAAAAGGTTGGAAACACTGTGTTAATATTTCTTATCTACAGCTACTGTGGATCATTTCCAGGAATGATCCCTGTCTCCACTGCCTACCAACACACATGAGGGGGGCTACAGCAAGCTTGTCTAACCCGTAGCCTGCAGCCCAGAACGGCTTTGAATGCAGCTCATCACAAATTAGTAAACTTTCTTAAAACATTTTGAAATTTGTGTGTGTGTGTGTGTTTTTTTTTTTTTTAGCTCATCAGCTGTCATTAATGTTAGGGTATTTTATGTGTGGCCCAAGACAGTTCTTCTAATGTGGGAAGCCAAAAGATTGGACACCCCTGGTCTATAGCAGCATATAACTCTGCTGTTTCCTGCCCACACCTGGAACTCCACACCTGCGCTGTTTCCTTTGCTGTAAGGCTTAGGAAATTCATATTCTGTGAAGACTTCATGTGCAGGTGGTTATACTCTGTCCTTTGTAGTACAGTGTTTATGCCTCTGGGAACAGCCATTTTCACAAGTTGTGTGGGCATTTGTATTCAGGTAAGTTCCAGGAAAATGGACATTCAATTTCCATAAGAATGTAAAGTGCATAGATACTGGACACCCACCAGCTGATCCGTTATAACTGCCCCAAAACAACACCTGAAAATGCATTTTGAAAAACAAAGGCAAGTGCGTTTTCACCTTAGAAATGTTGATTCTGGAAGAGTTGGGGGGACATGCTAAGTTGTTTGTGGCAAAGGCAAGGGTTGCAAAGCCCCTGAGAGGAAGTCAAGGATTAAGAACAGTGCCTGGCACAAATTAGTTACTTGACACTGAATGAATTAATCTCCCTCCATCATCTACTTCCCAGGGGCTAGATCCAGTCAGAGGTCAAGAAGAGGGGGCTTGTTAGAAGTTAAAGGTCCTGCAGTGTAGGGCTGAGGGCCCCACAGGGTCGTGGTGTGTCCCTTATGCTGTGCTGAGGTGCAGGATCCAACAAACAAAGAGACAGGACACAGAAGTACAAGGAAAATGGAGCTGGGCTCAGGGGGGCCCTAATGTCCAGAAGTGTCAGTATTTATTGTGTATAGGTTAGGAGGCAGGGCAGTGAGTGAAGTCATCTTCAAAGATAGTGATAGGATTGTGAGCAATAAAACAAGGGGTCCATCCTCATTAGGTCACCTAGGCTATGAGGTGGACAGTGTGCAGCAAGATGTCCACCCCCATTAGATCACTGAGGCATGGAGGTGGGCTGTGCGCAGTGAAGAGGGTGCAGTGTGCACTACCTCTACCAACGGGCAAGCTACTTCTAAGATTTGTGGGAGGATGCTTTAAGTCACACAGCAGTGACAGAGCTGTCAGGGTTACCGCCACCTGTTGGCAGCTTCCAATGAGTTCTATAGGAAGACGCTTTTTGGGCAGCACAGTAACAAGAGCTAATAAAGTTCACAGTCACCAAGGTACAATTATCCGTAGGGGTTTTGAGCCCTTGAATGGATGCTAGAGGGATTGCCGGTCTGAGGGCAGCCTTCCACAAGAAGACGCGAGGTCCTACAACTCCTTTATCAGGAGGAGTGGCTCTTGCCCCAAGCCTGCCATACAGTGGGTATCTTAATGATACTGAACACTGCCCCCTGGGCCATGGATTCTTGTCCTGGTATAACTGTTTTTCCCTTAAATCATGCTCGGCACTGTCTGCTCCAGACATTCCTCTGACTATAAGCTGCTTATTCCTTAATTCATGCTCTGTACCGTGTCTACTCCAGGCATTCCTCCAATTATGAACTAAGATATAGTTATATATATATATATAAATGAGTGGTGAGATATTCTTTAGGCACTCATTCTATGAACAAATATATGATTATATAGAGAGAATTATATAAAGAAATAACTGAGTAGTAACACTATAAACTGAGATATTCTCCAGATCTTAATTGTGCCAGGATTTTGCTTAGTTCTCCTTCCTTGGTGCCTATGTGGGGGGTTATCCACACTGAGGCCTCTTTCTCCATTGAACAAGTGAAAGGTAGTGAAAAGTAGATGGCTTTCTACCATAGGTCTGTGGGAAGTAGAAAAGTTCCCTTTTAAAGTTTCCTTGCTTATTAAAGAGTAAGTGTGCTAATAACTCTTTGTTAAGCCCTATCCTATGTAGTTGTTAGACATGCCATGCTTATAGGCAGGTAGTATATTCTATGTTCTTGTATTTCAACCAAGATATCTGTGCTGAACCAGGCATATCCCAGCTCTCCATTGCTTTTACCTATTTAGAAAAGTTTTAAGTTGTTACCCAATCGGGTTTTAATTTAGATTGTGAGGTCTGGCTCCAGCTAATGAAGATCAGACACAGCAGTAAGGATGACCCCAAATGCATAAGGGATAAATTTGTGTGTTTTCCTTTGTTCATTGTATTCTTGTGGCATGAGCTTCCTGCAGACCAGGAAGTAAAAATTGCATTGCTGAAAAATCCTTTGTCTCAGTGCTAAGTTTTCTTTGCAGCACCGAACATCTATTTCCAACAGATTTTAAGAACCCTAGAATGACACTGTCACATTCTCTCAGGGAGGTCATAGCTGTGGGAACTGTGAACATGCTGACTCATTTAAATGTGTCCTACATAAATCAACATCAGATGAGTTCTGATTTACAAGACTGCCAGGCAGGCCTGTGAGCCTTCTGGCAAAACCCGTCCCATGCATTTGTGTAGCCCCAGTTCTTCCACATAGTAAATGCCCAAGAAGCTACAGAAGAAATCGTGTGTGAGCCCACAGTCCTCATTCCTTATGATGGGGCTGCAATTACCAATAAGTTGTGAGCGTTAAATGGGATGAGGAGTCACAGTATTATTTGCTTGTTAGGGAGGTTTGAGGGCAGGCCCCTCTTCCCTCTTCAAATTGGAATCACCCAAAGAGTTTTAGTAAATACTGGGCCCATCCAGAGTTAATTCTCTTTTAATTGGTTTGGGGTGCTGCTTGGACAGGTGAACTTTTAAAATTCTATACTGAGCCACCAGGACTGACATGAGAACTATTTGTTTGGAGTCTGTCAGAGGAGGCTCCAGCTGATCAGAACCTTAAAGTTCATATTCTTTTTCATTTCCCCATTGTCGCTGAAGCCTTCCCCCTACACCCCTACCGTCCCTTCGAACACAGCAGCGAATTTTTGGTAAAACTGGAAAGTTATGCAAGCGTGCCTACACGCGTGCACACATGCGTTACCAAAAAATCCGCGTGCAGCTTTCCACGTCCCAGCGCCCAGCGCTCCCACCTGCAGCTGGGTCCACTGCTCTGCTTCTCCCTCTCTGCTCCACTCGGGGCGCCGTGCCCCACCCACGTGCCCCACCCTCCCTCACGTCCCGCCCCTCGCCATTCCCTTCCCCGCCCACGTGCCCCACCCTCCCCCTCGCTCCGCCCCTCGCTGCTCCGTGTCCCTCCCAGGGGCACCATTCTACCCCCACCTCGCTCCTCCCCTCGCTGCTCCCTTGCCCCGCCCACGCGCCTTGTCTCGGTCCGCCCGGTCTGGATCTCAGCCTCGCCAGGCCCTTTGCCCGGCCCGCCCCGCCTTCTCCTCTCGCGAGGCACTCCCGGGGCCGGAAGTGCTTGGAGCGCGCGACAGCGGCAGGGCGGGGCGGTCTGGAGGCTGCGGCGCGCCGCCGGCAGAGGGAGGCGAGAGGCCGCTGGGGCCGTGTTGGTCGCCGGTGGGGACTCTTGCAGGTACCGCCCTGGTCGGGGCTTCTCGCGGAGGGCCAGGAGCTCCTGCCGGCCTCTGACTGGGGTGTCGTTGCAGGGCCGTCCCCATGTTGCGTTTTCCGACCTGTTTCCCGTCCTTCCGGGTGGTGGGAGAGAAGCAGCTCCCGCAGGAGATTATTTTCCTGGTCTGGTCTCCCAAGCGGGATCTCATTGCTTTGGCCAACACAGCGGGCGAGGTAAGTGAGCCGGTGGAACCCGCCTGGGCTGGGTCTGCCCGCTGGGGGCCCCAAAACACCGAGCCTGTTCATTCGGGCCACAGGCGGCCGGAGCCTCAGTTTCCCCTTCTGCAGACGCGGCGGGCCACCTGCTACCCCTTCCCTGCCTCCCAGGACGGCAGTAAACTTTAAGTAATATATGCGAAAGGTGGTGTCTTTGCCATTTTCAGTACTTTTATGGCTAACGTAACAGTTTTCACACAGCTTAACACCGTCAGGCAATTCTGCATCCCCAAGTCTTCTTCACTCATCGCTTTATTAGTTAAATGAACTTTTTAAAAAGCCCACGATGTGCCACCCATTAGCTAGACATAGTGGTAAATTCAGGGCCTGCCCTAAGTTTACTTACAGTTTTAATAGCAGAAGGAAGTAATTCTCGAACTTTAGCTGCAAGACTGTATGCATGTAGCTGACCCAGAATATATATTTAAGAATCTGTAGTCTCTTGTCCACGTTTTATACTACGGGTTGGATGCTAACTTCCACTAAAAACCTTTAAATTGGACAAGGAAGAGATGCATCATTGGATTCCAGACAGAACGTGCATGGGTTTTGTCAGCATTTCTAGTTCACATTAAACTTCATCGAGTTTGTTGTACCAACACCTGTTGTACCCAACTTTCTGCTGAGAATTATTACTTGCCAGCCATTTTGTAAGGAAACCTTCACCTGTGCATCTTTCGGCCTCTGGCTTGAGCATTATCTGGCCAGGTGAGAGTTGTGTAGAGTTAAGTTTGGAAACTAAGTGGTAAGGAAATCTTAGCACCCTGTGGACTACAGCATCATGTTATCTACCATGACCCAGTAGCCAGGGTATTGATGTCTAATTTTTCAGGGCCCTCCATGAAATCTAGTCTCCCTCCTCTGCCGGGATGCTTTGAAACTCTGTCGTGGCTCTAGAGAACAACAGGTGGTACAGCCACAGGAGCAGGAGGAAAGGTAGAAAGGAGGTACATCTGTGCGATCAGAAGGGTAGGCATGATAGTGGGCACTGTTACATCCATTTCTCAGTGAAGGAAGAGGCAAGGGAATTTTCTGTGGGTGAAGATGGAGAAGAAAATATTGCAAGCTTGAGGAGAAAGAAGAGGTCTGAAAAAGCTAACAAGGCAGGTGGACTTGGGAAACCTAAATAGGATTCAGTCAGTGTTAAGAGCACCACAAGATCAGTGTTCTTATTTGAGAGACACTGGTTGAATGAGGTTGTGTGTCTGTTCTGTTTGGCTGTGTGGGTGCAGGTACAGTTGGGTTTAACCAGGATTGTTGTTTAGCAAGAGAAAGATGAAAGAGTTGAAGTTATGTGCAAGGGTAGTGATTTTGTTGATGAACTTTGGGTTCTAACGTGGTTAAGGAGGTAAGTGAGGGCAGGTGTAGGGAGAGGAACAGTGACTAGGGGGTAGAATCAATAGACTGTATATTCTGGTGAGGTCAAAGAATTGGAGTTGAGTGTTGCAGAGATGAGCTGAAAGAGGGGTGGTGGATGGAAGGTGGGAAGGAAATTTGAAATGGAGATTTTGGTGGCCCTGCAGTTGTTGGTAATGACCAGGCTAGGGGTGTGACCCTGGGAGTGGCTAAGTGCAGTAGAAGATGTGATCACTGGAGGTGAGGTAGTTGACAGCTGAAAAGCCAGGACATATAGCTCTTGAAATCACCAAAAATGAGGATGAGTGTGCTGTTAGAAAGCATGAGCGAGCCAGGTGTGCAAATCTTCAAGGAATGAGGGGAATGGCCTAGGGGTCTGTAGAGGACTGCAATCAAGGGGAGAGTGGGTGGTATGGTCTGACTGCATGTGATTCAAAGTTAGGAGGTTTTCAAGAAGAGAAGAAATGGCATTGAGCATCAAGGAAGACACCTGCTTCATCTCCTAGCCCAAGAGGAGCAGTACAGGGTCCGTGGGATACAAAATGGTCACCACCTAGGAAGGCTGCAGGGAAGCCATGTCCTCTGGTGAGAGGCACATTTCCGATAAAAGTATGAAGATTTTAATTTCATGATGCCATCTGACCATGAGCTGCAGAAAGCACAGAGGAAGGGTTTCAGAAGTAAGGAATGGCAGGAATGGTTTCAGAAAAGAGAGGGTCAAGTTGGAGAGATGATGTTACCATGAGTGAAGGGTGCTGTGAGGTAAGGCAGGGCATGGTGGTAAAGCTGAGTGTGGAGTCGATGGAGATCGAGAGGGGTCTTCTAGGAGCACGTGCAGTTGTGAGGCCTTTTCTTCCTTACTGTCAATGGTTGTATAGAAGCTGCAACAGGATCAGTCTTAGAGCTCTTGGGCAACATTTTGACCTTCCAAGGTGGGAATTTACTGTTGTGGAAATGGAGATTTAGAATGGTTAAGTGATTTGTCTAAGATCCATGGCTAGTGTGTGACACAACTGAAATCAGATGCCACGTGGTCTAATTCCAAGCTTAGTATTATTTGAGTATATTACAGCTAGTTACCTTTTTAGTGATGTTTGTGTTCTTTTATTTCTTTTTTGGTTGTCATCTTGGACAGCCTTCCTTCTAAAAGGTAAGTCTCCCGTTGACATAAAAGATGGGAAGATGTATTAGGTACTGGGTGAAATTAGACCTTGTTTCACCCATTTATTTTAAAATACCTTGTGTTCTTGCAGACACTGTTGTCTTTTTCTGTTTTTCTGATAGCTAACTATACTTGAGAGATAGTAATTTTAAAAAAGGTTTTAGTAGGGTTCGAGGTGTATTTTATTTTTGGAAATTGATTTTTTTTTTTATTTCCTGCCGTTATATCTGCTTTGTCTTAGGTGTTACTTCATCGACTTGCAAGTTTTCATCGAGTTTGGAGTTTTCCACCAAATGAAAATACAGGAAAGGAAGTGACCTGTCTGGCATGGAGACCAGATGGCAAACGTAATGATAATATTACAAAAATATGTTTTTATTTTCACAAAAAGTATTCTGTAAAGAAAGTCCATTTTCAGGAAGAATTTATTGTTCTTAGTATACATTTTAATTATAAATACCAGTTAGGGGCCTTTTTTTTTAAAAACATGCCTTAAAATATTTTTATAGAACTCAGATTAATTCTGCTATCTTGTTTCTTGGCAAAGATAACTCTGAGGTGAAATCTGATGGAATGTACAAAATATTTTGGTTTTGTTCTTTCCGCTGTCATCTTGGCCTGTGTTTGGCCCAGGCAGCACCTGCCACTCTCCAGTCAGGCAGTTCAAGGCCATCATGGCCTTTCTCTTTCACAATGGATTTTAGCACGAAATGTGTGGCTCATATTCCCTTGGTGCATATATGTTTGCCTCCCCAGGGGGACTATGAGCTTTGACTCCATACCTTCCATTTCTATGTGATCTTTCTTCTGGTCCCATCCTATGTTATAGGCTTTTATGGCTCTGGTGACAGAATCGTCCTCTTCCATGTGATATTTTTACAATGACCATCCTTATTGGAACTGTTGGACACATATAATCAAAGTGAAGAAAAATGCTGTAAATCCTACAGCTTAAAGTTCATCTGTGTCGTGGGTATTTTAAGAAAAAAGTGACTTGTTTTTGTAAAATATGTGTTCTTTGCTTAATTTTTCTGTAGATAAAGTACTTAAACATTTTATTGACGCTTTAAGAAAAATGAATTGTTTTTGTAAAATATTTGCTCCTCGTTGCTTTTTTTTTTTTTTTTTTTTTTTGAGACAGGGTCTCACTCTGTTGCCCAGGCTGGAGTGCAGTGCAGTGCAGTGGTGTGAAGTCCGTTCACTGCAACCTCTGCCTTCCGGGTTCAAGCAGTAACTGCGACTACAGGCGTGCACCATCATACCTGGTTAATTTTTGTATTTTTTGGTAGAGACAGGGTTTCACTGTTTTGGCCCGGTTAGTCTCGAACTCCTGGCCTCGATTTGCCTACCTACTAGAGTATGGGGATTACAGGTGTGAACCTCTGCACCTGGCCCTCATTACTTAAAAATTCCCTGAAAGCAAATCACTTAGAGATGACAATTGTTTCTGTTTTGGTGAACATCTTTTACAACATTTCCTGATAAAGTATATACTTGTAGAGACCTATATG